GACAGTCTGACACATAATGAAACCAGGACACTGCCCTAACTGGACATGTTCCATTGTTGTATGCAGTGTTAATGTAGCCATGTCAGTCCCAGGATAGTAGAGAGACAAGGTGGGTGAGGTCATATCGAACTTGTATTTAGTTGTGACACTCTGAGTACTTTTCCCAGAGCCGAAGAAAAGCTCTGTGTAGCTTGAAAGCTTATCTCTCTCACTAACAGAAGTTGGTCCAATAAAAGATATTACCTCGCCCACTTTGTCTCTGTAACTGAACATGTCCATTCTAGCAGTTGTAGAGGTTGGTGTTAGAATCTGCTTTGATTAGTCCTCCAGCTTTCCTTAGTTCCCTGGCTGCAACTGACAAGAGTACTAATAATCAGTCAAGCCTCGCATCCATGGGTATGAGCTACTGTAGCAGCTGGGTTAAATTGGCAAGCAAGCTGACATGTTAGCAGTGTTCCTTTGTGTATCTAGGTTAGCTTCTGACAACACTGTTACTCTTTTTGTTCCCTTACCTTCTTGGAGACTGGACCTCAAATAACTCCACTGTAGAAAATGGTGTAAAGTAAAGTAATTGGGCAGGGGCTTGTGGGGGAGTAACTAGAGCTCATGGAAAAACTCCACTACCCAATTGAAAACTGGGTTCCTTGCCTCAGATGGAGTGACACCCCTTCTCCGGATACAGCTAACTCATACTTGCCAGAGAGAACTTTTTAGCCTGATACTCATCAGGAATGTTTTAAAGTGCATTTTTGTCTTTGGCATGCACCAGACTGAACCAAGTTTTGGAAAGGGAACAATTTCCCTGGGAAGGACTCCCCACTTGAGAAAATTCTAGCTGGCCTCCCTCGTTTCCACTGATGAATTGAACATAATGCTATGCTAGCAACGTGCTCAGTATATTCCCCAGGAGCAAAATATAAATAAGTGGCGGTGCTGCCTCCTAGACTACAGTTTTGAGGACACTTTTTTGTTTAAATGGGAAAACATATTAATAGGTTGTCCAGTCCCTCTGCAAAACTATGCTGTCTGGGTAGATAGTCAGAGGGCTCCAAGAGCAATGTTCCCCTCAGCCTGTGCTAAATCCCATCACTGTGACCCCCAGAAAGCACAATGCATCAGCTCCAAACAATGGGAAAGGAACAGATTCCTAATTTATTATTGCTCTCCCCGGCACTGTTCCCTAAGAGAAGAGAATTCGCTCTGAGGCAGTACTTCTGTGCACATGTGGAGTCCGGCTGTGTAATGCGGCTACGTTTGTGTGGCAGATGAGGGAAGCATTTGGTAATACAATAAGAAAAGTGTTGAAATGCAATTTATCCTGGAAAACCCAGTGAGATGATGGTGGCTGACAAGGAAGAAAGAGTGTTTAGCCACATTAGTATATTTGGATTTTGTGTCATGCTGGCCTTGGACCGGAGCAATCCCCAGGGGTGATACACGTTGTAAAGTAGGCGGAGGCAGCCTGAGCACTGAAGGCCAGGCCTGCTGAACAGTATTTTGCCACCTTTTTTCCCACCTCGCAGTTCTATGTAATAGATTCCTGTCTGCAGTGATGACGCCGCCATGTACAGGGCCAGGCTGTGGATTTGGGGGAGACTTAACAAGAGGATTATTGTGGTACAACTCAAACTTAGCAGACTCCATTTGTATAAACAGTGTGTGCGGATGGGGGTGGGGAGATCATTAGGTCTCACTGGCTGCCTCCTGAAGTAGGTAGAGCTCAGCTGCTTACTTCTTCCAGCCCTTAGCCATTGGCTTATTCTTTCAAGCTTATTTGCCCAAAGAAAAGGACGGGAAACTAACTGTAAGAAAGAAAAAGGAAAGCGGAGGTTCCCTCTTGCATCTGCATTTCCCCCAAACCAGGGATACCCTCCTACTGGCTGTGAAAGCAGGAGTGCTGCAGAAGCAGGTTCAAATGAAGAATCCAAAATGTAATCAATATTTGTACTTTACTTCCTCTTCTGTTTATAAAATACTGGGCCAAATTCTGCTCTCAAATATGGTGTAAATCCAGAGTAATATCATCAGCTTCGATAGACCTCAGAATTTGACCCATCCACATTTCCTCAGATACAAATACCTCTATTGTATGGTACCAAGATGGCCCAGTTGGCTGCCTACTGAAACATCACTAGATTTAAGTCCAACATCATTCTATCACTGCAGTGAAATATTAGAGTGTTTTGCACTCATGCCACCTGTTGAGTGAGATGTTAACTACCGTATATACTCGTTCATTAGCCCGTTGGTTTATAATCCGACCCCCCAAAATGGATAGGTAAAAATAGCAAAAACTGTATGACACTTTCATAAGCCGACCCTATATTTCAGGGGTTGGAAAACTTTGGCTCCCAGCCCATCAGGGTAAGCCACTGGCGGGTTGGGACGTTTTGTTTACTTGGAGCGTCTGCAGGTAAACAAAACTACAATGTATTAGATCAGGGATCGGCAACCTTTGGCACGCGGCCCGCCAGGGTAAGCACCCTGGCGGGCCGGGCCAGTTTGTTTACCTGCCGCGTCCACAGGTTTGGCTGATCGCGGCTCTCACTGGCCACGGTTCGCCACTCCAGGCCAATGGGGGCTGCGGGAAGCAGCGCAGGCTGAGGGATGTGCTGGCCACTGCTTCCTGCCGCCCCTATTGGCCTGGAGCGGCGAACCACGGCCAATGGGAGCTGCAATCGCCCGAACCTGCGGATGCGGCAGGTAAACAAACCGACCCGACCCTCCAGGGTGCTTACCCTGGCGGGCCGCGTGCCAAAGGTTGCCGATCCCTGTATTAGATATTCAATTCAATGATTCCATAGAGTTCAAAATCATCAAATTTTGGTGTAGACTCGTTTATAAGCCGACCCCCGCTCTTTGATGTGTCACTTTTTTACCAAAAATATTTGACTTATGAACGAGTATATACGGTATTTCCTTTCTCTGGTAAATTACCCATGAGGAAATCAACAGTGAAGAGTAGAAGATTCCGTAACCCAAGTTTTCTTTACAACTTCTACCTCAACAAAAGTAAGTTCATGGCTAAGCTGGAGTTTCTACGGAATACATAACAGCTGTCCTATTTGCTAACAACCATTGCACTCCTAGTAGTACTGCTTGGTAAAGGGATTAAGATTGTATTCTAACTTTAGTTGGGGATCCTTTCTATATATAGTCCTGGAGCCTGGAGGTTTCATCTCCTTACAGGAAGGGAGTTTTGTTTTGTTTTGTTTTTTTAATAAGAACTGTTATTCAGCAGGATAGGTTGACTTTTAATTCTCCAGAACTGTACTGGGCATTCTAACATTTTGTGTGTATGCATATGTCTTCCATAACTCTTATCAAAAAGGACATTGATACCATGGTTGGAACGTGAAGCATCTCTGAGCACTGAGCATGTATAACAGCAAAGTTCTGTTTGCATTCTCTGTGCACTGAGCAAAGATTTTTCATCATTTCATTTGTTATTCACAAGCTCCAGTGGTTCCAAGTGATCACAGAACTTTATGCTGTATTCATTAGCACAAAGGTTTTGTTGGTTTTGGAAAGCTATTGTAATTAGGAACTTCAGGGCATACAGCAGGTGCATTGATGTGCTTTTCTGCTTGAGCGTCTCAGTGGGATTAACAAACTATCTGCTTAATGTGGCAGCCTAGCAGTGCTCATGGATGGTATGAGCATAGTGGGCATACTGGGTAGAAATGTTCAATCTGCTTTTTACTGTTTAGTTTGTCAAGTAGAATTACATTGTAAGATCACTGCAATTTTTTTACACTCTCCCTTCCCTCCCCGCCACCCCCACAATATTGTTTTTGATATTTCAATGAAGTTTCATCATTGTTGGAGAAAGCAAATAGTTTGGAACAAATTCCAGACATAATGAAGTCAGGGAAACAACACAGGAAATTGAACCATAGCAGTGGTTGTAGATGTGGGCCCAAGCCTCAAAGGCCAGGTCAGATCCAAAGTTCTTGTGTGTATGCATGGTTTTGATGCACAGATTTGGCCTATTAGACACATAAAAGTCAGACACAAAGTATGGATCTGGATCAGAATATCCCTCTCCCCACCTCAGCTTTCATGAGTGCTCAGATATGACATTCCTGTTTTCAGCCACCTCTAACTATTGCAGACCTTACTGTCCTCAGAACTTTTTCAGTCCTTTAACATAACCAGAAGCTCACCTAAGAGGGATCTGATGTTCCTGTGGCTGCTAGAAGCAGCATCATTAGGAAACTGCCCAGCAAATAACATGGTGTCAGTGCCTTAGTCTTGATAAGTTTCAGAAATTGTTTCACATGGCTAGAGATAGCACACACACTTCTTTTTTTTTACACTTTATACATAGAGAGTATGTCTACACTGCAGTCTGGGGTGTGATTGCAGCTCAGGTAGGCATACCCATGCTAGCTTCACCCACACTAGCGCAGCTAAAAATAGCACTGTAGACACAGCAGTGTAAGCGTTGGGCTAGCAACATGAGTACGTACCGAGGGTCCTCAGCTTGCTTGTACCACCAGTGCATGCTGAAGCCTGCACTACAGCCTCTTCCACTATTTTTAGCCATACTAGCATGGATATATCTGTCCATGTCTACCTCGGATTGCAGTATAGACATAGCCCTACTGTAAGGCAAACAGGTAGACCTTTTAAAACATTTAAAAGCAGGGCTTTGGCCTCATGGCTGCTGTTGTAAAAATAGAGAGAGGCTCAAGCTGCAAAGTCTGAATCTGAAATGTTTCAAAGGTGTGTGTGTGTGTGTGTGTAGGGGAAGGTGAGAATCAGATCTGGAGTTTTGGCTGAGTCTCTTGCCTAATGATACCCTATTTGCATGCATGTAATTTGAAGAGGCCTCCTCCAAATATCCATGAGCAGCTAGGAATCACAATGCTATGTGGTTTATTAGACTTGGGGAGTCACAATACAATTTCAGTGTTTGAATCTCAGATCCTGGAAATGCTGCCAGAGTGCTAAAGGGTTGTGATAATTACAGGTGGTTTTTTTTTTTCCCTTTAAAGCGGACTCTTCTGTGAAAATCCCCCACCAATGGTTCTGCTACAGACCAGCCCTTGTGACCACTATGAATGCCAGAATGGGGCTCAGTGCATTGTAGTACACCATGAACCAGTCTGCCGCTGCCTGGCTGGCTTCGCTGGCCAAAAGTGCGAGAAACTTATCACCGTCAACTTTGTTGGGAAGGATTCCTATGTTGAGCTGCCATCGGCCAAAATCCGTCCTCAGGCAAACATCTCCCTCCAGGTATGTTGCACAGAAGAGGTAATGGCTCATCTGTCAGCCCAGTGTCCTTCCAAGAGATAACCTTTCAGTGCTTTTCATCCCAGAGGAAGTGCATTTATTGACCTACATAATGGCAGACAGTTGGGGCCGTGTTGGGCAGGTGACAGTGGCTGCTCTGCAACTGTGCTGTCACATTATGCAGCGACTGAGATAGTCCCGTCCCTGGTTTGATCCCCAACCTCTCCACCCTGTTATCTGCTGAGACTTGCGTAACAAGGTGGTATTGGCAGTTTAAACAGGGATGGTATCTTCAGATTTCCCAGTCTGGCTGCTGATGTACAGGTTCCTTCATCAGTGAATGTTTAATAGTAGGGCAGAGCATTGTAAAAAGATGCTTCTTGAAATGGCTTTTTCCAGAAATTAGACTGCTCAGGCATTACTGTGCATGTTCACTTAGACAAAAGTGGGTAGATTTTGGTTAAATGTCTACTTAGATCACATCAATTTGCTTTGTGTTATGTGTTTTAGAAGACGACGGAAAATAAACAGTATGGTTACCATGCCTCTCCTGCAGTATTTGTTTGTATTTTCTGGGTCACAGATGCTTTGGATTGGAGCCACTAAATCCAATATTAGATCCATGTCTTTTGGAAGTCATTTGGACATACAAATACAATTTTAAAATATGCCTATGTCATTTGAATTATAATTATTTTTCCATTGGCCTACGGTAACAGAGGGAAAAATCTGCCCCTTGTAACAGTTTGTAATAAAGAGAAAAGAGAAACATAAAATTAATCTGTGACATAATATATATCTTCCATATACCACTGCTTATGCACCTGAACTGCTACTATCCCAGCCTCACCCTATGAAAGAAGCATGGCATTTCAAGTGATGAATGAGGATATGTGTGCAAGAGAGATTATCACATTAGTCTTCCTTCATTTTGCTTTATTTTCTCAGTTTAGAAAGGAAATGGCTTCTGGTGGTGCAAGTAATGTTCCAGAACTACTTGTGAGAGCGTAAATTCAACATAGTCAAAACACCAGTGGGAAAGACTTTGAAGATGGGACTACATTTCAGGATTAAGAATTGATTTTTTCAAAGGCTTATTTAGATGGTTTCTACCAAGTTTGTTCTGTTGACTGAAAAAATATTGTAAATTTCTACGTCTGCCACAAAAAAAAATCTACAAATAATATTCATGAAGGGTGTTGCCAAAAACCACAAAAGGGCCTGATCCCAAGGCAACTGAAGTTGATGGGACTCTTTCCACTAATTTTAACAAGTTTTGTATTGGGCCCAACATTACCACCACCTGTTTAGATTAATGTCTTCTATCATAGGTGAATTTATTTCAAACTAAAGGAACCATCTGGGATCATAAGATCGGAATTTTGCCTCTCTATCAAAGGCCTCACCTCCTGAAGATTCAACCAGTTGAAAATATAAATAATTTGTTAACATTACATGATTTGCTTAGCATTTCTTTGTAAGTTGCTTTTTAAAAAATAACGAATCTTTATTATGATGTAGATTGGGGTCGGCAACGTTCGGCACGCGGCTCGCCAGGGTAAGCACCCTAGCGGGCCGGGCCAGTGTATTTAACTGCTGACACGGCAGGTTTGGCCGATCGCGGCCCCCACTTGCCGCGGTTCGCCGTCCCGGGCCAATGGGGGCGGTGGGAAGCCGCGGCCAGCACATCCCTCAGCCCGCGCCGCTTCCCGTGCTTACCCTGGCGAGCTGCGTGCCGAACGTTGCCGACCCCGATGTAGATAATGCAGAGGCCAACAAGTTTGTATACTCAGTTTATATGAGAGAGCAATTCACTCCATGTAGACAGATTACTTTCTCCTTTTTATTTTTTCCAAATTCTCTCATTTCAGATCATAGGAAAGTCTCTCAAAGACTCTAGAAAGTCTGATATTCTCAAGGGCTCCACTATACCAGAGGCTAAGTTCAGAGCTTGAACCCCTTGACATTTTCCCTTTAAGTAAAATGTACAAGGAGTAAATGTCTCCCAGCAATAACTCAGAGGCCAGGCCTGCTTGTTACACAGAACACCCACAGATGGTGTTCTCAAATCTTATTTTCCAGTTTAAATATTGTTTCTGCTTCTGCTAATTAATTGCCAACAATGTAAAGTTGGGATACCTCCGTGGCCATTAAAAAGGAATTAAAGAGAGCTTCCTATGAAAACATACTCATAAAAGAATGAAAATCATGCTCTCCTAAGGGGCAAGGAAGAGTGTTTGTTTAAATAAAAATAGATTAAAATATTTAACTGTTTAGTTTTGCCACTTAACTGCTACTAAAAAAAAAAAAAAAAAAAAACCTTTGCAATATTTGTTGCAAAAATAACTGAGGCAGATTTTGTTCAAAGTATTTCTTGTCCTACTTTTTCTACTCTCACTTTTAGGGGCACTTCATGGGAAGGTGGATTCATCACCTGTGGGTTTAGGCTTTTGGGTATCTTTTAGGGCACTAAAGATGGAAATCTAGGAGGGACTGGAAGGTTCTTATACTCTGACCCTCTGGATCACCAGTTTGAACTCAGCCTGGCTTGGTGATAACTAGAGTTGAGTGAATAATTATAATGTATAATCCATTAGGCACACTTTAGTTTTTCTTTGTGTTCACAGACTGTCCATGATCAGATTGAAATGGTCTCAAGTTTATTTGTTTGCAATTTTGATAACTTAATTTACTCTGTACCTTGCCTTTCTAAATCCCTAATTCAAGCTGTTGCTTGAATTGTGAAATGAATCATGTGCTGCCAAAAAACAGTCACAATTCACTCTTAGAGATTCAAGAGAGAAAGATTGAAATTAGAATCGTGCCCCTTCACCTCCTAGCATACAGGTCTCTACCATTTGAACTAAAGAAAGCACATTGGGCTAGTGGCTATGGTAGGTCCTTTTTTTGTATCAAGGCCCAGCAGCTAAATGACATCTCAGTCACTCGCTCATTCACACAAAGACACTACATCGGGGTTAATCACATTCCCTAGTGAGATGTGAGGTTTTCACAACTGGGTTTTAAGTTCAATTTCCATGAACATTTGAAACTGCAAGATTTAAAATTCACAGCCCATGAGCATTTGCACTAGTAAAATTCCATTGCACAAATGTTCAGGGAATGAATTGCAAAGGGCCTAAGTAAATACTTTAAAATTGGGAATGGCTCTTAGCAGAACAGTATTTGCAGAATTGACCTGACTCTGCTGACCAGAGCTCATAATGGTAGCTGAACAGCCTATATAAAATGAGTTTAGCAGCTCCTGTCCAATACCTAGAGTCCACCTTGCAAAACTCACCATTACAGTCTAAACCTTTGTTGGCAGTCTTAAGAGACACCAAGGATAGAATGGGTTTGGAATTAGCCCCTCAGCTCACGGTCAACGGTTGAGGCAGTTTGGGGGAATTTGCATTGCTAATGCTCTTGTTGTATCTGATTTTAAAAATGTCAGTAGAGTTGTTAGTCTAAATATAGGATCCTTCCATATGATACAGGTTTAGTGTTTCCATTTTTATTAACTCAAGCATCCTCACCTAACTGTTGATGTTTCACAGGTAGCAACAGATAAAGACAATGGCATCTTATTGTACAAAGGGGACAATGACCCTTTGGCTTTGGAGTTGTACCAAGGACATGTGAGGCTCATCTACGACACACTGACCTCTCCACCCACCACAGTGTACAGGTAAGTTCCTCCACCTAAGCTATTACAGGATGCACTGTTCCCCAAAAGATGGAGAGGTGGGACTTTCTATGAAAAATCTTTGTCAGAGTATGTGACAAGCTCTTTTATTTTTTACTTATCTGTCCCAGGTTGGAATTGCATTTCCCTCCCCTCAAATATCCAATATGCCTGTTTTGTTAACTGGGAATCTTTTGTCTTCACAGACTGCAAAATTAGGGTGGTTGCATTAACCTCTGCTAAGAAGTCAGTGTTTATTATCAGTTACTTCCCAGTTGTATATGAGTTATTGCAGTTATTTCCTATTCTGAGAGAAAGAAAATACTGTGATTTCACAGATATTACAGTGTGGTAGCTTTTGGTAAATGCTGACTTTGCAACTGTCCATTGTAATCAATTTCCTCCTCTGGATATCTACAGTAATCTCAGAATCCTGAGAGAGACAGCAATAGAATGTAATGCCAGTGGTATTGCCATTGATAAAATGGGACAGGAAGGGATTGACTTTATTACAGGGCAGTTGTTTTTAGAAGCACTGATACCTGCATCAACAACAAAATAAAAAGGTTAAAAAACCATAGCTAATGGAATTAAACAGAAGGGCAAGTGTGACACAGAGTCATCTGGATTCCAAAAGCCTGCAATTTGGAATTTCAAACACTCCAAGGGATACAAGAGCAAATCTCAATTCATTAACCACCAGAGAGAGAACCAAAGACAAAAAGGATATAAGCCATATCCAAAGTGGGTTTCTTTTATTAGGACCCTGACAGCAGTGCCCACAAGTCTTTCCTCCACCAGAGCCTGCTCCAGACTGACTTCCCTCTGCTAACCTAGTCCCTGATCTGCCAGACTTGTTCCATATGGTCATACCCCTCTACCCATACAGAGCCTGTTAAATTCAGTGATAGGTGCCAAGGTCTGCCTGCATGGATGTCATTGCAGGGATCAGGGCTTTATTTTATATGCTGGTGAGGTTACCCAGCTTGTCTTGCTCTTAAAGGGGTAATGCCCTATCACAGCAATTATAAAGATGCAGTTTATATGCAGGTAAAGAGGATGATGCTGAAACTTTTTTCCTAAAGATTTTCTCAATATTTCATGTGAGATTTTAGTCCCCCAGAAACAAGGCAGACGTATAATTGCCTTTGTCTGTAGTTGCTGTCTCTTCCTTTTGAGAGCTGAGATATATGTAACAAACGAAAATAAATCAGTAGGCTGCTTTCTATTCATGTGGTGTAAAGACTAATTAGGCAATGCAATGATATCAGCAGGTCCTGTACTGGAACAGGAAGGCCCGTGATTAGGTCTGTGCTATTCTGTCCACCCTAGGAAGGAACAAAGGGTTTTGTTAGTGATTTTCACCAGTGATGCAGGCTTGGTGAGAGAGGCATGAAAATTTACTCTTTATTCAGCTGCTAATCCTAATTGATTCCATGTTAGAGCAAAGCCAAAGTTGTTAAACAGTTTTATGCCACTAATTAGAACATAGGGGAAGGCTCATTATCTGCAGACAGCACACCAGGTGACAGATCCTAGTGGGAGCCTGCTCTCAATTGTCAGTGGCAGAATGGTGCAGTGACAGGAGCTGTTTCTGACATCAGTGTGCTTTATGGATCCGCCACCTTCTGGCAAAGTTGCTAGAGATGGCAAGCATCAGTGTCCTCATTATTCCTGTGCCCTTCGTATTGATCAAGGAGGAGGTCTCCATTCAGAAAGACACCTCGTTACCATAAGATTAATGGCCTGTTCACTACGTTTTGCACCGTGTGATCTGTTGAGATGGGAAAGCTGCTGCTTAATGCGATGCCCTTTCTGAAATGTCACCCTAATCTTTTATTAGTTTAAGGAGTATAGCAGAATGGGATTAGCATGAAGCTCGATGGGAAAAGATTAGGCTGATTGAGAAAAACTGCAGCTATAGAATGTCAAAAAGAGACTTCTAAATGAATTTAAAAACTTGTTTTCCTTAAGGACGGGGGAAGGGAGAGAAACCTGCTTGTCTCCATAGATTCATGGAGTTTAAGGTCAGAGGGGACCATTAGATCATCTAGTTTGACCTTCTATATATCACAGGCAATTACATTTCATCCAGTTATCCCTGTATTGAGCCCCAGTAACTTGGGTAGGACTAATGCATAACTTGTGTTAGGCTAAAACATAACTTCCAGAAAGGCATTTTGAAGATAGCAAGAGATGGAGAATCAACCACTTCCCTTGTAGTTTGTTCCAATGGTTAATCACCCTCACTGTTAAAAATGTAAGCCTTGTTTTCAGTGGGAATTTGTCTGACTTCCACTTCCAGCCATAGGTTTACGTTATGACTTTCTCTGCATATTAAAGAACCTGTTAGTACCTGGTACTTTCTTCCTGTGGATGTATTTGTACGCTGTAATCAAGTCACCTCTCAATCTCCATTTTGACAAGCTAAACAGATTGAGGTCTTTAAATCTCTCACTGTGAGGCATTTTCTCCAGCTCCAACTTTTTAATAATCTTTTAAGAATGTGGGCACCAGAATTGCCCATAGTACTGTAGTATCGGGCTCACCAGTGCCATATACAGAGGTGAAATCTCCTTGCTACTCCCATGTCTAATGTGGTCAAATGGGTTATGTAAAGTGATTGAACACTCCTAGGCTCACATTAGATATATACTGCCTGGCTTTGAGGAACTCTTTCAAATCTTTTGGGCCAGATTTAGTCCACCAGCACCACCAAGAGCTGTTGCACCCCAAGGGGAATATACCCGCAGGCAAGGATAAGCAGTGTTTTCACCACTGTCCTTCAGAAGTGTCTGCTGGGAGAGAGGGAGGCTTTACATTCAAGCAGGGGCTCTTCAGTAGGCTCTTCATCAGTTGAGGCTGCAGAGAAGATGTAGATCACCTTCTTTCCATTGTGCCAGCCCCTGTGCTATTCTGTGACCTTTGGGGCTGTCCTGGCTGTGGATGGTTCATGACAGGCCCACTAGCAGTCTTTCCATCATTGGTGATTCTGAGCCATAGTCTGCATAGTCGAGTGAACGTGGCACAGTGGACTTAAAACTGTTGAATAGCAATGAAATAAACATAATGAGTGACTAATATAGTTAATCTCCGGGGGAGATAAGATGTTGTTTTGGCTTTCTAACTTAGTGTTTTTCAAAAACTTTTCTTTGACTTGTCTCAAATGCCAAGTGATCCACAATGTTCACACATTGTTCTTTTTAAAATCTCATCCTAAAGACCCTTGCATGGCAAACTGCCTGGAATGATCTCAGTTTATCTGATTATAATGGGCTCAGTTGACCCTCCCTGGCTTTGAACCTGCTGTTTCAGTGTATTTTAAACTTGGGCTTTGGATTATTAAACCATCCCCGCAAGCTAATGATGGTGTAAGGAGTGCTAGAAAGATGGATGAGGAATGCATGCTGGGTTCTGTCAGATTTATTTCCCCTCTTGTTAGTATAGTGCCAGTAACATGTTGTATTCCTCAAATGGTATTTTTAAGAAAAGGAAAATCTGTATCTATAACTTTGAACTTCACCTCACCTGCTTTGGAGTTTTGAGATGACAGGCTTCTTTAGGGCTGTTACCCTGGAGGATTAATCAAGCATGGTGAAGCAAAATGATAGTGGCTTGCTAGCAGGCCAGGTGAAAGTAGCTTATACTGCCTGTTGGGTGTGTTGCTTTGTTTTTGTAGTCTCTGGTTGGGTTAGGGGAAACACATTGCAGGATCTTACTTGCTCCCTTCAGTGCATTTGTTTAAGTAGAATTGTTATGCAAAGTTAGTTAGGAAAAGACGAATTGGCTGTTCGTTCTGGACCTACTTTAAATTTCTCCACTCCTGCATTATGACTTGGATGGAAAAGTCAAAGTTTGAATTAATGTTTTCTTGAGTACTAGCCATAAAGTCAGGTAGAAATCAGCAAATATCCATTGTATGAGATTATACAAAGTATATTGCCATTTATCACCAAGCTGGAAGGAGATGGAAGTTAATGTATGAAAAACTCTAGATTAAAATTGGCCTTTAAGAGAACATCCTACTGCCCTATTATGGGTGAGGATTACTTTTGAATTGCAAATTAAAGACAACCTGAACCTCATGGTAAACATTTTACAAAGGATCCACTCTGTACAGAGGCATTGCTATTCATTGTTTCCTCTCATCACTTTAATTATTCCTGAGGATATATGTAGGAAAACAAAATTCTGTTTTGTGAGCATTCTCGTTTTTAAAGCCAGATTGCACCAATAATAATAACATACGCCATAGACTTTTCACCCTGTAATTTCTGCAGTGGGGAGAATTACTCTTCCCTACTATATTACTGAACACTATCGAACCCAATAATGAGTGGTTAAACTAGAACGTATCTTTTAGAAGGATAACCAGTCTCAGTTGAAAAACTCCAAGTGATGATGAACTTACTACTTCCTCCTGCTGAGCTGGTCCAGTGGTTAAAACTCCAAATTGGAACTAAGATGCCACTTTCTAAATCCAACTTCAAGCCATTAGATTTACTTCATGCATTTGTCTTCTAGAGTAAAGAGCTTCCTAATTTCAGCTATCTTCTATTTCTGTTATGTTCTTGATCCAGAACATGACCTTATTCTCTGCTTCTTTATTTACACTGATGTGAACTTCAGTGAATTCAATGGAATTATTCCTTATTTAACGGCTCTGAGTGAGATCAGACTTTGGCCAATAATCTGATAATGTAATGCTCTCCACGGTAACTGTCATGTTGCAACCAGACTGTCACTTCAGGTGAAGAATGAGAAGCAGAAGTCAGTGATCTCCTAAGAAACATAGAATGTATTTTCATGCAAATTTCCTGGCAGCAATAAAAATGTAGAAATGTAAATTATTAGTATTAATTCTGCTTACCATATTGACTGTTTCTCTTTCAGTCTCTAATCCCAAATAATGCCAGAGTTCTTTGCAAAATTTAGAAGAATGTTCAGCTAGTGTCTACTGCATAAAATATAGACATTACATAAAATGCCATTAAATAGTCTAC